CTTGCTTGAGCCCAGGAGTTGGATGTTGCTGTGAGCTATGACGCCACGGCACTGTACCCAGGGGGACAGCTTGAGGCTCTGTCTCAAGGAAAAAAGAATACAGAGCCTCAAGCTGTCCCCCTGGGTACAGTGCACAACGCTCGGCTATTTTTTGGTTGCAGCTGTCATTTTTTTTGGCGGGCCTGGGCTGGATTCTTACCCTCCATTTGAGCCACAGGCGCTGAGCCACCCTTTTGATTTTTAGTGCAGGTTTTTGTTAATTATGAACATATGTACAGTATGGTTTCTTATCTAAGGAGTGAGGGAAACTGAGGTTTAGTAGGGGTTATAGCTAAAACTCAGCCAAGTGGAATGGATTGAAAGTGTTACATGTGGTCCCGGGTCTTGACTGACACATGGCCATGACTGCTGAACAAGGTGAAGTTTAAAGATTGACACATGGCCAAAGGCCAGTAAAATAGAATTGAGTTTTAGCAGAAGGATCAAGCTCCATTGTATACTAGTATAGCAATAATTGAATACAAAGACAATATCCAGGAAGCCAGCTTCTGCGTCAGCTTTCCTTTTTTGAGACAGAGTCTCCCTCTGTTGCCAAGGCTAGAGTGTTATGGTGTCAGCCTACCTCATAGCAGCCTCAAACACCTGGACCTAAGTGATCCTCCTGCCTCAGCCTCTGGAGTAGCTAGGACTACAGGTGCCCACCACAGCGCCCAGCTAATGTTTCTGTTTTTAATAGAGATGGTGGTCTCACTCCTGCTCAGGCTGGTCTTGAACTTGTGAGCTCAAGGAATCCTCTCACCTCAGCCTCACAGAGTGCTAGGATTATAATTGTGAGCCACTGCTCCTGGCCACTTCAACTTTCTTTCTTTTTTTTTTTTAGCTGAGGCTGGGTTCGAACCTACCACCTCCGGCATATGGGGCCGGCGCCCTACCCTTTTGAGCCACAGGTGCCACCCCCCACTTCTTCAACTTTCAATGGAAGCATTTAATGGCCCAGAGATGGGTTGCAATGGTAGAATTTACTCAAATAACTGTGGATTTTTTGGTAATGATGGTCTTTCCCACTTGATTATGTTGTCTTATCTTTATACATAGGTTGAGAGGACCATTGGCTGCTTACTTTCAGGCAAGCAGGACCCAGCCACACATGCCAGATATTAGAGATCTTCCTGTGCCTGAAGACTTGGAGGTGTCTAGTAGTTCTGATTCTGACAGTGACAGCTCTATGGAGGATGGAGAAGTAGTTGCCCAAGCAGGGGAACCTGGAGCTGTAGAAGGTAAGTATTTCATCCAGGTTTGGATTTAAGGCTAACATCCACAAAGCCTAGACTTCAGAAAGCTGGAAACTTGAGATTTGTACTTTGATACTTTCTCTTTTCTCCCCCAAATGTTATAGATTCCTGCTTTATACTATAGAGCTTTCACTGGCTATAATTATGTAAGAAAGATTTGATCTGACTCACAATTTAATGTGGTTTGAAACTCAGTGAGTCAGTTGCTTATAATGGCATTGTACATTCCGTTTTATTTTCTTAAACATCTTAGACAGAAGTAGATTCCTTAATTAAAAAATGTTTTGTAAATTAGTGCTCTCTGTAGGCTGCCATTTTCAATTCCTAATATAATATTATGTATTATGCAAGTGGAACTTTATTTAGCAGTAGGTAGGCAGACACCCCTAAAATAGATGTCCTGCTTACATTAAGAACCTAGGTTTTTAAGTGCGGTCTTTTATTTTACCATTAAAAGAACCAAAGACTTCTTGGAGAAATGGCTTTCTAGGTCTGACATAGGAAATATACAAGATTAGCTTAGGACATTTTATTGTGCTAGAAAGCAAGGAAGCCATCTGAATCTCATATTTAGGTCAGTAGGCACAAGAACTACCTTGACGGAACTTTGGGAGACCTAAATGGCATGATTTGAGCATCAGAATAAATATATAATTCTTGGATCATGGGCTAAAATACATCAAATGTATGAAAATCTGTTAAGTATATAGTTTTGTAATTTTCAATGTATATAATATCTCAAATGTAATAATTTGAATCTAAAATGTAAGAGATCCTACAAATGGAACATTAGGAAGAAGACTTAAATGTTTATGGAAATCTAGTGCATTAGAAAGTAATAAATCAGTGGGAATAAGTAGTACTTTTTTGAGACAATCTCTGTTTTGAGACAGAGTCTCACTTTGTCACCCTCGGTAGAGTGCCGTGGTGTCACAGCTCACAGCAACCTCCAGCTCTTGGGCTTAGGCGATTCTCTTGCCTCAGCCTCTCAGGTAGCTGGGACTACAGGCGCCCACCACAATGCCTAGCTTTTTTTTTTTTTTTTTTTGGCAGTTTTTGGTGGCTGGGGCCGGGTTTGAACCCACCACCTCCAGTATATGGGGCTGGCGCCCTACTCCTTTGAACCACAGGCGCTGCCCAGCCCAGCTATTTTTTTGTTTCAGTTTGACCAGGGCTGGGTTTGAACCCGCTGCCCTCGGTATATGGGGCTGGCACCCTACTCACTGAGCCACAGGCGCCGCCTTTAGTATTGTTATTAAAACTGGATAGCAAACTGGATAGCTAACTGGAAACTGGTAAAATTGGATTCATTCGTCAGAGATCTAAAGAGTTAGAAGAATACACGACTAATACATTCAAGTGTTAGAAGAATACATGAGTGATAAAACCCAGGAGTAGGGAGTGCTTTGAAATCTAGAAGCAATAAAGGAATGGTATGTATAGGTTTTTTTAAGTTTTGTGTAACAGTAATAAACCATTATAGATAGTTCATGATTCGACTTGTATAAAATGTCCAGAAAAGAAAAATCTATATAGACAAGATCAGTGGTTGCCTAGGGCTATAGGTACAAATGAGAAGGGACTTCAAATGAGCTTAAGGGAACTTTTTTTGGCTGACAGAAATATTTTAAATTGGATTATGGTGATGGTTGCCCAATTCTAAATTTGCTATATTTAAAAATTAAACAGGGCGTGGCACCTGTAGCTTAGCAGGTAGGGCTCCAGTCACATACACTGGAGCTGGCGGGTTCAAATCCAGCCTGGGCCCGCCATACAATAATGACAACTACAACCAAAAAATAGCTGAGCATTGTTGGCGAGCACCTGTAGTCCCAGCTACTCTGGAGGTTGAGGCAAGAGCTGTGATGCCATGGCACTGTACCCAGGGTGACATAGTGAGACTCTGTCTAAAAAAAAATAAATAAATAATTTAAACAGTATCATGAAAAAGCAGTCTGCCAAATACAGGATATGTGGGACATTACTTAAGAGAAGTAACTGAATTTCCCCAACATACCAGTGACCAAGGATTCAAAAAAATCGGTAAGAGAGAATTGTATTAAAATGAAAAAGACTTAAGAGACCTAATAGTCTATGTCATTGTGGAGGTCTTTTTTATATTTTGATTGCACTAAATCTGTAAAGAACAGCTTTAAAATTATTGGGATATTTTGAATATGAACTATATGTCTATAAGTATTGTATATTACATGTATTAGAGCAGCGGTTCTCAACCTCTGGGTTGCGACCCACTGGAACTGTATTAAAGTGTTGAGGCATTAGGAAGGTTGAGAACTATTGTGTTAAAGGATTATTGTTAATTTAGTAGGTATAATGATACAGCATTTATGTTAAAAAAAAGAATCCTTGGGCTCGGCGCCTATAGCTCAACCGGCTAAGGCGCCAGCCATGTACACCTAAGGTGGCGGGTTCGAATCCCCAGCCCGCACCCA